CCAAAGGGTTGTGTTTTAATACACAGAAAATAGTCCTGTAGAGATACTTCTTTAAAATTCTATCTAAAGTGTAGACGGTCGCACCAACTCGCTGTTGGTTTTGGTCTTTAAATGGGATTTGTTTATAATAAGTAAAGTCGTACATCATGAGGTGCATCCCGACTGCCACAAAAACCACGTGTCATCTTTAATTTTCATTACATTTCATTCACTTCTAATTAAGCATCTGACGGGTGCGATATGCAGAAGAGAGCCCAAAGACCAACAGAAGCCCTCAGACACAAATTAAAGCTCTAGAAAAAGGGTTTGGACCGAAACGTAAAAACATCCAGACTGCCGCTGCTGCAAGGACACAAAACAGCACACATTAAACACCAGAAGCTGTTGAGAAGGGTTACAAACATCTGGACACTTCACATTACAGATGGGAGTCACCCACCAACACCAACTTTAACTGTTTCCCTCACAGCTTGGACTTGGTTCTCTCACACAAATATTAAATCTAATTATAAGAATGTTTGTCTTGTTTACAAAAAAAAGCTCCATTTCCTAAAACACAACTCAAGTTTTTATGATATTTTACCCAGAATTCAAAGCTGATTTTTCCAAAATCTGACTAAAGTCAAGGATTTTAAAAGTTTTTTCTCTTCTGGAAAATGACTTAACTTGTTTTTTCTTAATGTTTTTGTGATATAATTGCTCTTAGCTTATTCCATTCAACACAAACAATGCTTTTTTTCCCTCTGCAGACTCTGTCCTAACTCTATTTGGATCCAGCCTGGACTCAATCCGACTTTGGCTTTTGCTAATTTGCTCTGGCCTCCCTTCAAATCCTACAGCTCCGACGAGGAGACAGTAAAAAGCAGCGGCAATAACTCACTCCTTGGCTGATCCGTCGCTGGTGGCGGTTCCAGCGAGTGCTGGGAGCCGGAGACAGAGTGGGAGGACGAGTGCAGCTCCTCCACCGACGACTCGGGGCTGTCTGACACCGGAGCCAAAGAGATCTGAGTGTCCAGATCCAGGAAGGGGGAGAAGGAGAGCCTGGCCGGGTCGATGTCCTGGAGCTGGTTGATGATATCGCTGATGGATTCCTTCATGCTGTCGAGCTCCTTTGCATTCTGCCGGTTAGTGGCCTGAAGCCCCGAGGTGCTCATAGTCACAGAGCCTGAGAGGAGCAGGAAGAGGTCCAGGTGGAAATCAGGCCAAGATCAGTTTAAAACATCAGACTGCGGAAAGAGACAAGAGGGAGAAAATCACCTTAATTCCCCAAAGTGTCAGAAAAGCTTGATTAATACACACGTCTGAAAAAATATCCCCGAGAAAACACAGTGATTCATCTTTATTTTCCCTTAAATATCGTCAGTAATCCGCTTTCTTTCAAGCCTCTGCTGTCTTTGCGCTTTTCTTCTACCTGTAAGGCCCAATTTATATCCTGCTTCAGGAATCTGTTTGTCTTGACCAGAACAGCCCTGACCTCAGGGGAAAGGTCAGCGCTGAGGGAGACGCTAACACTCAAAAACTTCACTGGGACTTTATGCGGGCTTTTTTGGGGGGAGGATAGAGGAAATTATGGGTTTATGCACATGGTTATACAATAATCATCACTGACAGGATGTCAAAGTTTATCTTCCCCTGTTTCTGTTGGGAACACTTTCTCATCAGGTTTGAATCCCTGTCAGTAGAGAAACTCAGCAAATCAGCACACGAATGTGTCACACTCTCGTGCACACCGAAGCACGTCACAATAATCACAGACTCCAGCTTTATGATCTACAGCGGGAAGTCCAGAAGGTGGCTGGCGTGCACCGTGGTGTTGCCCTGCATCCTTTAAACGTATCACACATGAGACTGTGTGAATCTGCAGGTTTCAACACTTTGGAGGGAGCTTATTATTAGTTAAAATCTTCCTTTTGGCTCGTATTTCGCAGCAGGATGACTCAAATATCTATGTAGTAAAATGGAAAGCACTGCAGAGGTGTAATAAATATGCTTTGACCGTTTTCACCTAAAAGGAGCAAATCGATATTTTGGGAGATAAGAAGCCCAAATCCATGAAGCTACAGCAAACAGCTGACCTGCCGAGCAAAACTGAAACAGGGAGAAATGTTAAATGTGTATTTACTCACATACTGATTAAACAAATGAGACATAATGTGTTTATTAACAAGATTTAAAGGCACTGGAAGTATTCACATAACGTCCCCCCTGTTTCTAATCTTTCTTGAGCAAAGTGCTCCGACTGCTCAGTGTGTCACCATCAGGGATCTCTAAAGTTATATTTTGAAGTGTGGATGTCACTACACGTCCCTTCAGTACTGATAATCAGTTCTCGGCATCTTGTGAAAAGTATTTCCTGTCCTGGCAGCTTTGACCAAGGTTTTAGAAGCTACAAATTTTAAAAACACATATTTCAAATCCAAAAAACACAGGATTATAACACTGATGAGATTTCAATTCAGAAACTCGTGGATTCATGGAAAATCTTGTGTTACATTGCTACTGTGAGGTCAGACTTTAGCTTTCTTCTAAGAGAACTCTGGAGGATGAAACAGGGCAACGTTTCACCTGTTCCCATCTCATGATGTGAAACTGAACCAGAGATGTTCAAGTTAGTTAAAAAGGTCTAAAAAAGCACAGAAGCAGCTTACTGGGACATCTCCTTTTTGGCTCTTCATGGACTACTTCAACTCCACTATTGATATCACAAATAATCCTAAGCAGTTATTGTAACACTGTACCTTTTCCTGTATTACAACAGTAAATACAATCTATAAATACATATTCATTTATGACTGTTTTCTACATATATGCATACACACGGACGAATGTTTCCAGCACTTATGAACTCTAAAGCACATAAAATGCACTTACTGGACAAAAGCGTCTGCCAGGTGTGCGTAAAATAACATCAGTCACGCGCCTTTGTCTTCAAAGGCTTCATTAACATCTGCAGATTGAATCTGGAGCATTTTTCTCTGGGTTTTCTTGGCGCACAACCAACTGTGGCGCAGAGCGGGCGCGCACGGCGACGTTTCTCCAAACAAGCGAGGACCTTACCATGTATAGAGATCAATTAGGAGCCACGGGGCTTGAAGGTCTGGAGGAATAAATGTCGGTGGCGGTTATCGGAGCTGGCCTGGATGTGGCGCGTAGGGGGCGGAGAGGGGTATGTGGCTTTAAAACCCGCTGAAAAATAACTTTCCCTTCAGTGTTGAGCCACTCTCTGAAAACAAAAACTTTATACGATGCCTCCTCCACGAAGCTTCTCGGGCTCAGTGTAGCAGCTGCAGGAAACACCTCATTTATTGATAGATAAATAAATCAAATGAGGGGAAAACGCACGCGTGAAAGCTACGCGTAAAGGACAGGTCATTCACAAATCACGAATCGTGTATTTTGTGGCATCCAGCAGCAATTAAAGCGATTCATTTCATTTCACAGACAAACCTGCCTCACTTTGGCGAAACGAAATGCCCAAATGTGCTGATCAGCGGAACAAGAAGCGTTACTCTTATAAATGAACTTACTTTAGTCGGAGGTTGCGGAGTATTTGGGTGAGTTTACTCTCCTCGCAGTTTAAAAAAACCCCTCGTCCTCGTCTGCCTTTCTTCCCTCCCCCTCCGTTTGCTTTTTGTCTTCCAGGATCCCGAACTTCTGAATCAAATTTCAGGACGGACAAAATACTAGGCTTTTTCCTCCGCCCACACAAGTTTTTTTTTCCTTCCTGGGTACCATGTCAAACACCATATGGAGCAAATAAAGGCAGAGGAGCGGCAGCAGCAGCAGGAGGAGGAGGAGGAGGAGGAGGCACTTACTTTTAGTTTACCTTCAAATTCAACATGAACAATCACATCCATCACGAACACGAGTGCATCTAAACAGGGCAGTAAATATTTACAATGAAACCAAACCTCGGCGCGCCTCTGATATTCATACACAGGATGAGCGCGTGAACTCCAAGTATATTAATGCTCACTCAGACAGCATCAGCTACTACAGACAACCCGTTTATAGAAAGTCTTTTCACTCAATAATAAGTGATGAACTTTTCAAATTTAAGGTTATAGAGACGTCATTGTGTTTTTTCTGATTTTGTTGGGCTTTTCATTATCAGTCACTCCAACTTCCAACAGTCCACTGATAACTCCTCGGTGGCCTCGGGCGCGACGAACAGCCAAACATTTTCGGTGTGTGTAACTTTACTGCGCATGCCCCATTTTCTCTAAACATCTGATTCCTGGAATTTCTCACCAAATAGATAAAGAAAAGCGTTTAACATCTTTGCCCACAAACAATACATAAAAGCCACTGGTGAATGAAGTCTGTGACTCACACATGGATCCTGGGATGCTTAATGTGCTGTCAGTGAATATCAGATTACCAATGGTAATAAAGGAGTGATCTAGGAAAGGTGTGCGCATGCGTTACCATCTTTCCACTTGCCCTTGTGATACTTCCATTTCCTCCTTAACAGGAAGTGATGAGCAGGGTTTGCGCATTAAGTTATTGTGAATAGAAACAAGTTTAAAGCTCTGCTGCAGCGGTGCAGATGTTCAAAGGGTTACAGATACCTGCAGAGGCAGTGCAGAGAGCAGCTGAGATTTTTGAAAATCTATTTATTTCATGCCTGAGAAACAGACCTTTTGAAAATCCTATTACAGGATGTTTCCTTAGAGGAAATTCTCACATCGCTGCTTTTCGCTATGTTGAGGAGCGTTTCCTGGAAACATAAGACTTTCACCCTTGAAAAATAGGGAGACCTGAACGTGGAATGATTGGAATTCAATTTCCATTCAATCACCTCAACTTTACTAATATTTCTTTTTGTCTGACTCTTTTAGTTCAGCCTCCTTGAGCCCATGTGTTCTCCAAACATGTAGCTTCCTCCTCTTCCTCACAGTCATCTGTATGCTCAATGAAAAATTTCAACAACTGAAGATAAGGGGATCATATAAAATAACATACCGTAATCTAAATATGAAAATCAAATGACACCTAGGTACGAATGCTTTATTTTCCCCAGTTATTATCAGGGATATTTTATTGCATAAGAAAACATTTTAAAATATACAGATAACAGCTGTAGATTTGCAATATAGTCAATAAATTAAAAAAAAATCAGGACTATAAACAACATATTTTGGATTCTGAGCTGTAAATATATATATATATACACAGATATGAGTTTATTGCTTGTGTAATCTGTTGAGCGACCAGCAGCATGTCTGAAACACCGCTCTGCTGTCATTTCAAGCCAACGGGAGGACGGGTGAGGATGGAGGAGGACGGAGGAGGGCGCACAGGTCCACCACGAACCAACAGTCGGCAGGTTACCTAGGTCAAACTGGCTTCTGCCTTTTCGCCAAAGCAAACATGGGCTGTGAAAGTCACATTAAGCAGTCAAAGTGGGGGGGTTTGTCAGCCCTCTGACAGCAGCCTGTGGAAGTGATCCTTCCTCTTCTTCAGCACCTCCCGAAAATCCTCCTGAAAAAACACCAGCGAGAGATATTCAGATATTCAGAGTCAATCATGAAACCGGGAGAGGAAAGACATCAGGCAGATGCTTCTGCAGATAACCAGCTGTTTCACTCACAGCTCACTGACTGGGGAATCAGCAACAACCCTAAAAGAAAAGGAAAATCCATTTTCTCTATGACAATCTGAGTCTGTAGCACTTAGCCTGCCCGGCATGCCCAGAATATCTTTTCACTATCTGTCCTCACCAAACCACAAGCACGGTGACGCTGAGCAGCTACACGACAAGGTTATCAACTCAGCGAGCCAGCCCGGGCCTCCCCGCTCCAGCCATCAGCATGTTCACATAAAGCAGGAAGCGAGCGCAGCATGCGACTCATCCCAAACATGGACAGGTTTATGCAGCAAAGTTTTCAAACAAGGGGCCAAATTATAACGCTGACAATAAAAAAAACTAAACCCAGAATGGATCCGCCCAATATTACAACATGTATCTCACCATATTCACGTGTCCAGTCTGTGAGGCACAAATGAATGTGAAGCATAAATGAGACTTGTACTAGGGCTAAGTAGAAATGTGCTGTAAGAGAACCACACCAGTTACCGTGCATTCTTACAGCCTCAACTATTAATATAAATCAATCATTGTATTAAATGGTGAAGATTTTCTAGTTTATCGAATGAGAGCATGTGAGAACTCTTTGTTGTACATGATAGATTAATAGTTCATGACCATTATTAACTGCAGCTACATAACAGACAGAAAAAACACACTAGCATGTTTGAATCTCGTGAGATTAAAGACAAACACTTGCATCTTATCACAGGCACCATCACACATAGACACGATTAAACATTTGTTTAACAAAACCGATGCAAATGAGCTCTGAGTCGATTAAGTGTCCGCCTGCCACACATCTAAACGTCTGTATAGATCGCAGGAAGCAGGCTCACGGACGAGAGGCATTCACTAAAGCTGACGATCAAAGCTACTTATCTGAATTTTATATTGATTTTAAAATCTTTTTTGTTAACTGTAACTCACGTAACAACATGAGTGGCCACTTGGCGGCAGCCGAAACAACACTAGCATACAGTTCGACTTGATGCGGATCTTAAAGCTCAATCCTTTAATTTGGTTGGCGCTTGTGTCCAGCTGACTACTGTAACTCACACTTTTACTCTCAAAGATCTGCTCTCATTCTCTCATAATCTCTCAAGTAAACGTGAGCCACTGATAAATGCCATCTGTATGGGTTTGCTGTCCGGTGCAGAGCAGCACCTGCAGAGCAGCGGGGTTTTTCTCTGAAAACAGCCGCCTGCCGGGACCAAAAACAATGATGCTGGTGCAGTGAGAGTGGAAGCGGTGAAGGAGGAAGCACATGTTGTTGCCTCTGAATCCATTTTAAACAAGCGCACAGTAAACACAGAAGATGTAAGCAGACTTACAGCTGCAGACAGTTTCTCCATGTAGGGGATGAGCTTCTGCAACTCTCTGTCATCAGACTCCCCAGACCAGCTCTTGATGGGAATAGTGTTCAACAACTACAAAAAACAAACAAACATGTTATTAAAAGTTAGTAACAGCAACAAAGTGCTGACAGAGCAAAACAAAGTAATTAATTAAGGATGTGTGCGAATAGTCAACAAGATGAATAATTGCCACTACTGTCAGTCGATGCCAGACGTAGTCATTTAGTCTAATTATTAACATTTTAATTGATGCCCAGTTACCATAAGTTGTTGTGCCATAAATGTTATGCAGCCATCTTCCACCAGATGGAGCTAAAGTCCCAGTATCTAAGCCTGGTCTCATTCTTTATACTGTTACTGTTAGCTCAAAGAATGAGATAGTGGATACAATCGGTGCAATGAGCTTTCTCCGAAGGGTGGACGGGTTAGCACAGGGTGAGAAGTTCAGTCATTCAAGTGGGGCTCAGAGAAAATCAAAGAACACAGCCTTTAAACTTACATTATATGGATATGTGTGGGGTGCATTATCCAGAACCACCGTCTTCTTCAGATCCCTCCCGAGGATGCTGAGATCTTTGATGTAGTGGCCAAGAACACAGGCACAGTCGTCCTGATACAGCCGGTGTCTACCAGAGAAATCACAAGTGAAACTCACATTTACCGTCCTCATTGTATGGCACGGGCAGAATGTTAAAGGGAACATTTGAAGCAGGCCATGTCGAATTTCTGAGCACGCAACACAGCAGCAGTGCGAATCCGCACGTCTCTGCACTCAAGCACCGAGTTTACAAAACACAAGTGGAAGCAGCTCATACCGAAACAGCTTTCTCTGAGGGTCCAGGATGTCCAGGATCTTCTCGGCATATTCCTTCTTTGCACACGTGTAAACGAACAGCTGGAACAGAGCACGCACAGCAGTTGGTACAATTCCACACTTTTAACTGCTCCACGTTAAAGCAGTGACAGAAAAATAATTTGTTTAACGTGTGAATGAGGCTCAAAATAACCAAACTATTTGCTAATCTACACACTGACACACACCTCGTAGATTTTTGCCATGGCCTGCAGGAACTCCTTCACATGTGGTCGCAGCACCATGTATACCTGTTGAGAACAGGGGAAGAATAAGTGGTCAAGTCAGTAACCTCAGGTCTGCTCTGCTGACTGAAGCTCATCTTTTAACTCTGTTCCCCATCAAGACATCTGACAACCTTCCAGGTACCCTTTATGACGAGCTTTGACACCTTGGTTTATACACACCAATAAAAACGGTTTGACCACCTCTAGAATGGTTTGTCTGCATCAACAGAGGCCACCCTCACCAACTGCTGATGCACACTCAGTCATTTTGTTCTATAAGCCTGAGAAATGACAGAAACCACTCAGTTCATAAAAGAGCTTTGAGGGTTACACGTAGTAGGCTTTAAGGGGTAAAGAGTTAAGTGCAGTTGTAGAGTCAGCTCCTGGACTCACAGCGTCCCAGATACCAAAATTTGTAGTTTCAGTAAAGATCCAACTGCCTGGTCTAGTCAGATGATTAAGGTTGGGATCATAACTTTTGGTAATTAACTCAAAACCACCAAACATTTCAACTAACTGCACAGCGTTGTGAAATGTGTCGTCTCAGACGCTCTTGGCTCCTACGTTATCTGCGCCCCAGTGTGTGCTTATTAAAACCCATTTCACCCTCACCTTTAAACCTCTGCCAGTGTTATGTCCGTGTAATGACAGCTGTGTAGCCTGCCTTGGAATGACATATCATTATTTATAACTAGGCTGACTTCACTGACCCTCCGCAGCATATTATCTTCAGATCCCAGCTAGATAACAAGCTTACAGACAATTTTTAAGTCTGCTCAAACTCGTGAATCCTTTTATCCACAAAGATGCCTTGATGCTGCACTCGATTACAACACTTTGCAGAATAATTTCTTTGTGGGAACAGAAAGAATTTAGACCATTTTAGCCCTCGATGGAAGCTCCCCAGTTGCTCACAAAACAGAAGAGAGGTCAAAGAAATCAAATGCATATTTCAAAATTCATAAAAGAGTGTGTGTGTGTGTGTGTGTGTGTGTGTGTGTGTGTGTGTGTGTGTATCTTTTCAGTTTTCCAAAGTGGGTTTTTGCACTTCATCAACTGCAGTTTTTAATTTTTAGAGTGAGTGAAAAATGGTTTCACAGATGCTTGCATGCCACACTTTCTACTAGTTCCCTAATTAATGCCTCTTGTACGTAAATGAGCCACGAAGGAAGTATGAAATAGAGAAGTGCACAATTTCCAAATACAGAAACCCAACCGCATCAAGTTATTAAAAACAAAATCTAATAGGTTATGTGACTTTCAACTGAAATATACATTTCCTTTTGTTTTTAACGACGTTAGGAAAGATAACATAATGTAGAGGTCCCCTGAAAATATTGGCTGTTTGACGATCTGCTGGTATCAGCATTTATAAAAGCAGATTAAAGAGTAAAGACACGAGAAATTATCCATGACTTGTGACAATGCAGTTAAAAAAAAAATCAATATTTTTTTTATTATTGCCACATCACGTTAATAAGGACTCCAATAAGCAGGGGTAACAAATGTTAGGGAAGCTTCTGTTTCATGTCTCTGAAAGAAAAATAAACCTGCTGATATATCAGTAACATCATCACCAGCTCTGTGATATAATGCACCAACATGTGAGGCACATGTTAAGTTCTCAACAGTGAATCAAAATGAAAGATCTTGTTTGTTGTTAAATAAGTTGCTGTGGTAAACATCTGGTCTGCAGAAGAGAGTACCACAGAGGGTTGTGAAGAGTGGCTTTCAGTGAGTGGTCACCTTGTACTGATGGTCCTGGAAAGCTGCATGGAAGGTGTACTCTGCGTCTTCGATCACATTCAGAGAGCTCAACATCAGGGTCTCCTCCTGGAAATAAACACGACCACATGCCTCAGATTACTTACTATTTTAAATATATAACTGACTGCTTTCACAAGGGAGCAAGGTGAAAGTGTCCAGTTTATGATTTTAACCATGTTAAAGCCACAGAAAGCCAATCTTTAACAATAAAATGTAGACCATACTCTATTCTTGCTAAATACAACATCCAAAAGGAATTGCAGATACTTAAAAATCAACTAGAAAATGCATTTTCTGAAGAAATTGCTGTGTGAATGCTGATAGCTGAATGTTTTGAGCTGAAATGAAATAATTGCTTCACTTTATTGGTACAATAAGGTCAAAGACAACATGCTCAAAACTGGTGGTAAAATATCACAGGTTGATCCCACAGTGTTCTATTGGCAGAATGAACAATCTGAGATTACAGGAGTGCTTGCATGTCACGCTGATGATTTCCTTTGGGCTGGTTCAAGTCACTTTGCAACTCATATCATTCCTGTACTGAAATCTACCTTCCTTGTGGGCCGTGAAGAACATGACAGTTTTTTTTTTATGTTGGTATGGACATTTGTACAGTTAATGATGTAATAGAGGTGCATATTGTGCATATTACAACCTACTACCTGTTCAGTTACAAGCAGCACGGGCTGTACAGAGGGATGCTTCCTTAAGTGAAACAGAACGGGAGCAACTCAGGTCAAAAATAGGACAGATTTTGTGGGTTGCCAAACAAACGAGACCAGATGTTACGTTTGACACATGCAGCCTGGGATCTAATATCAAAGGTGCAATTGTGCAGTCCATTCATGAAGTGAACAAAGTTATCCGTAAACTTAAAGTAGAGAAAGTGACTCTTAAGTTGCAACACTTGGGTAACAGTGAGGATTTGGCATTGGTTGTTTTCAGTGACGCTTCATTTGGCAACCTTCCCGCTGGCGGTACTCAAGGAGGGGCATTAATCATCCTTATGGGTAAAGGAGGAAAGTTTTGTCCTCTCTTTTGGCAGTCTAAAAAATAAAAAAATATCAGACGTGTGGTCAGAAGTACACTGGCAGGAGAAACTCTTGCCATGTCAGATGGAATAGACCATAGGTGTCAAACTCTGGCCCGCGGGCCAAATTTGGCCTTGGATGCACACCAGCGGATAACACCCTCGGAGGTTCTCCGGCATCCCTTTTTCAACCCTGGCCTTTCAATGTCCCATGTATTGACATTGAAAGACCATACAGAATCAATCTACAGCATGGCTTCAGCTTCAGACAAAAACACAAACTGGGGTTGGAAAAGGATATTAACAGCACTGGAAAAATTCATTAAGCTGCTCCAATAATGATCACTTTGGCTTTTTTTTTTTTTTTTTTTTAAATTTTCACTCCCCCCACCCCAACCAGTCGCCGCAGATGGCTGTCCCTTCCTGAGCCTGGTTCTGTCAAAGGTTTCTTCCTTTTAGAGGGGAGTTTTTCCTTCCCACTGTTGCTAAATGCTTGCTCATAGGGAATCGTCTGATTGTTGGGGTGGCCAAAACTCTAGGGGAACTAGCAATTCTTGTGAAAATTTAAAAAAAAAAAAAAAAAGCCTACCAATATTCAAAGCGGAGCAGCGGACACCTTACCATCACATCAGTCCTTCAATCAGACCAAAAACACCATGTTAACAGAAATAAATTCAATACAAATTGGAAATAAATAAATTGCCTAATAATTGTTGTTTTTGATTGTTTATAAATATATAGTGCTACCCTTCAGCCTCCTAGTAGACATACCTGTGTTATAAATGTGAAACTCCTCTGATTTTCAAAAGAGTTGGCCTCTGACCTTGAAGTCAAGGTCACTGAGATTTGAGCTTCACAGAGATTTTCAGCAGATGCAACCATGGTATTGATTTGAAAATTCGACACAATCACAAACTTGGGTGTCCACAGCGCCTCGCCATATACCAAAGATTAATAGGTGGGGTTTTTTTTAGGTTTTTTATAAAGATTACAACATACAAATAACAAAAAATGCCAACGCTATTGTCATTTTTGACAACGCTATTTTGATGTTGTCTAATGTAGTGCAAAAAAGCGAATAAATAAAATAAATATATATATAATACTATAAAAAAAATTTAGTGGTCTATAATGGGGTCAGCGAACAGAATGAAGGAAGAAAGTCATTGTTATATGACAATGGTGTGAAAAAACATATTTCTATTTTTTTGTATGTTTGTCACACTTAAACGTTTCAGATCATCAAACAATTATTTTTTTTTTAATGTATAGTTAGCATAAGATTAGCACAGTGAAACTGGAGGATGAACGCTAACTTTTTTCCCCCACTCAAAGTTAGAGCAGCTGCGAGAGAATTCAAGATTAATGAATCAATGGTACGAAAAAGAGGAAGCAAGAAGAATGAGTTGAGTAAAGTTTGACTTATCTGACTGTTTTGTTTTGCTTAATGCGCCTTATGTATGAAAACAGGGCCGTTATTGACAGTCAGCCTTGTGGCCCGAAAAATATGGTATGCGGCACTGAGTGTGCAACAGAAGCAGCAACGTCCAAAAGAAGAGGAATCTAACGGTGATTGAATGGTTTTTCTAAGTTGAACAGTGTTGAAGGAGATAGATGGCAAAAAAACCGTATAGAATAGATAATAAAATATTATAATAAGATTTGAATAACAATACTGTGAATGCTTACCAGCATTCACACTAATAAGCAAAATAAGCAAACTATTCCTGACCTTGAAAATATAATTAACACACAAAAAAAACTCAGTAAAGATTGTTTGTGATTTTTCTTTAAGATGTCCTCAGTTCGTGTTCCACAGTTGACATCCATGGCTGTATCCCAATTCAGGGTCTGCAGCCTTAAAGTACGCAGTCTTGACGGTCCACAAGGGCCGCGTACTCAAAGACCGCAAAGGCCGTAAGTGCGAGGCTTGTGAAATGGGACGGTCTAGCCTCCGTCGCGCTGCCCAGGTTGCCTAGCAACCATGATACTGGAGACGTTTCATACAGCATTGTTTGACAGAAATGAAGGAGAAAATCTTTTGTTCATTTGTTTGTTTTTTTCTACATGAGCTTTGATTTGATAAGTATCTGAGGCTGAGACCACAGGACTGTAAAACATGACTGTTGGGCTTCATTTCTGTACTGAACAGTCATTTTAAGATTAGCTAGCAAATAACAATTAGCTAATGTTGTTCATGAGACTAAAGTCATCTCACTTTGGTAATGTAAATATAATATGGCCAATATTAAAGTTATTATTTCAATCATTATTAGTTGTTACCAGTGTTGGGTAAGTTACTTTAAAATAGTAACTTAGTTACATTACTAGTTACTTCTCTCAAAAGTAACTCAGTTACTTCAAGTTACTCGTTACTTTCAAAGTAACTAGTTACCAGGGAAAGTAACTTTGGTTTTACTCAGAATTCTCTTGTTAATGTGTTTCTTCCATAACTTTGCCAGTCTTCTAGCTTGCTTACTTGCCACAAGTGCACTGTGCCACCGACCAATAGAAAGGAAAAGATAATGTGCATATTTCCAC